GAGGTGCATGTTTATACATAAGCAGCATTACTAGCTGCTTTTCATGTACCTCAGCAGCAGCTAACTTCTTCAATACTTCAGATTGTGTATTATTAATATAAACACAGTAATATTCATCTGTTGTTATGGTTAGGTGCGTTCGAGTCATTTCTGACTGATAGCTACTCTATAGGACAGAGTAGAACTTCCTCATAGAGTTTCCAAGGAGCAGCTGGTGGATTTAAACTCCTGATATTTTTGTTATCAGCCAAGCTCTTAACCACTACACCATCAGGGTTCCATCTATTAAGGGACAAATAACTCTTTGGGAGACTAACAGAAAATCTAATGCTATCTTACTTTGTAAAATCCTAGTTCAAACTTCAGATATTACTCTAATTATGGTCTTTACAAATTTGCTATGTTTATCAACACAAATTTATAATTTGAGAGTTACAATATCTAAACCTATTTAAAGTCTGATGATTTCCTTTAATGCAAGAATCAGCTATTTCAGTAACTAATAGTATTATGCTGGCTATAATGTCCTATCATCATTACTTGTTATGAGTTTGAAGGATCTGGAGGCTGATCAAGGAAAAAAAGATATGACCACTAGATGTTAGTGATGTATATCAACCTATTTATTGGGGTGACACGTTGAAAAGTGAGCATGTAGGGAAAACTCTCATAGCATTAGATTTGCAAGGTGTAAAATGCAGGGAACTTCCAGAAAGCCAGGAGTGCTAGGGAACTCCTGTAGGTTAGGGGAAAAGGAGAATGTACTTATGTGCCTAGGTGAAGTCTCTCAGTAGCCATCAAGAGCTTCTGAGTCAGACAGCTCCAAAGGACAGCAGTGGGTTGGGGTCCAAATAAATGGAGAGTTATTGTATGTTCATGGATAGGAAGATTCAAAATTGTTAAGATTTAAGTTCTTCCCAACTGAATCTACAGATTCAATGCATTCTCATACCACATCCCAGAAGGTTTTTTTTTTTTTGTTTGTTTGTTTTTTTGTGGCTACCCACCTCTAATAATGCCACATCTAATAAGCTTTTGTAGGACAGAGTAGAAATGTCCTATAGGGTTTCCCAGGCTGTAAAATCTTTACAGAAACAGACTGTCAAATTTTTCTCCTGTGGAGCGATTGGTGTGTTCTAACCACCAACCTTTTGGTTAACTGCTGAGTGCTTTAATCACTGTGCCACCAGTGCTAAAGCTTCCATGATACACCAAAATTTATATGTAAAGGCAAAAAAAAAAAAAAAAAGGAAAAAAGATCCAGAATAATCAACACAATGCAAAAAGAACAAAAGTTAGAGGACTGACAATATCCAACTTTGAGGCTTACTATAATGCTACTTTGATTAAAACAGTATGACACTGCTGAAAGAATAGGCAAAGAGATTATGGAAAAGTATAGATATGCCAGAAATATATCCACACCAATACAAATATAGTCAATTGATCTTTGACAAAGGATAAAAATTAATTTAATGGAAATTCGGATAGTCTCTTCAACAAATGGTGCTGGAACAACTGGACATCCATATGCAAGAAGAAAAGAAGTTAAAAAACGTGAACAAGAAGAAGAAGAATCATCTAGGCATAGACCTTACACCTTTCTCAAAAATTAACCCAAAATTGATCTCAGACCTAAATGTTAAATGCAGAACTATATAACTTCTAGAATACAATATCTGAGAAAATCAAAGTGACCTTGGCCTTGTCAATGTGTTTTAGATACCATATCAAAACCATGATCCAGAAAAGAAAAAAAACAAAGAAACAACAACAACAAAAATACGTTGGACTAAATTAAAATTAAAAGCCTTTGATCTATGAAAGGCACTGTTAAGGGAATAGATAGACCAGTCAAAGATTGGGAGAAAACATTTGTCAAACACATATCTGGTAAAAAGCTTGTATCCATCATACAGAAAGAACCCTTAAAATTCAGTAACACACACACACACACAAAACCACTCAAATTATGAAACAGGCGAGAGATCTGAACTGATACCACACCAAAAAGATACACATTTGAAAAGCAAAAGACCCCCTTATCACATCATTCAAAAGTACATATTATCAAAATGACTTAATTCTGTTGATGTTGAACTTGATCAGCTGGCTTAGATAGGAGTTTCTAGGTTTCTCCACTGTAAAGTTACTCTTTCACCCTCTTACAATAATATATGCTTTGGAAAGAAATCCCTATGCACAGCACACAAGGTAAAAGTGGAAAATTTTGCTCCACTTTCTTTAGAGGTGAATATCTTCATAAATTATGTGGAAATACCCTCAGAGAAGATTTTCCTCTTCAATCAAATATATTAATTAATTAATCTCAGCAAGGATTTCGAACATTTATTTTAATCTCTGTGTTATAAGCTAATACTACTACTTTGATTTTTGTGCTCAATTGTTCTGTCTTTGGATATTAGGACCTCTTTCAATTGGCTCCTTTGTCCCTTTGACGTGCCTACGTCAATGTGGGTTTTTTGTTTTTTTATTGTTTTGTTTTGTATTTGAGAAGATCCTTAATTTGGGTACATAAGATTACGGAGGCTCATTTTGCATATTCTCTGTCCAGCCCTGGAATCAGCCATTTCTCCAAAAAACTCATGTTCCTTTTATTGTAGAATGGAATTAGGAAACAACATATGAGTGCTATGTGTACTCATTGCTACTGGGGTGTCACTCCTTCTAGGCCCCTTCAGCTGACAGAACAAGGGAACATATGTGTGTATTCAAACTCATGCAAATGTTAATATCTATAAATATTTCTATATCTTACCATTAAGATACAGATAAGCTTGAGTTCATACTGATGTCTCCAACTGTAATTCATTACCCTATGGATCAATTTAGTCTCCTTATGTATTGACTCTTATCTCAACCATGAGAAACCTGGCTTAAAGTTAATAAATCTTATGTTATATGACAAGTAAGAGAATAAGAGATGGAAGAAAACAAAGATAGTTGATACACACACTTCCACTATTAACTCACACACATATTTTTACCAAAATAACAGAGGAATACTCGTAACGATTATAATCCTTGTCTTTACAAACATGTTCAGTGGTCTTAGCTGATATTTGGAAGTCTAGTACTTTCCTCCGCTAGCCATTCCATGTTCTCTTTGCCCTCCACAAACACTTCAGCTGGTCGTGCTTCTTTACCTAGTGGGGTGACATAAACCTTCATTTTTGAAATGTCTGTACCATTAGGAGTTCTGCCTGAATTGTAGATTACTGTCGTTTTCTATTGACTTTAATTACAGGGCTTAGTAATATTAAGAAATGCCCTAAGGGATCTCCTGTATTCCAGACATACTCTCCTTTGCTTCCAATACGTAATAACGGTCCAATTTCCCCTTGGTAATTCGAGTCAATCACACTAATAAATCCCTTCTTTGACTGTTGATTCAGAGGTATGAGGAGCCCAAAGTGACTGGGTGACATTCTTAACTCCCAGTTCGTGGAATCACTGTTGTGTCTCCTGGTAGGAGCATTCCTCTCTTTGGAACTAAGACCTATAGAGCAGCAGAGCATAGAGTTACTGAGACAGGAAGAAAAATTATTGTGAGTGAACCACTAATGGTAATAGTCAGTGGCACCACTCCCATTTTCACCCCTTGACTCATGGTTCTGTGAATCCTGGCTATGGAAAAAAAAGCACCATATATTGGATGTTCATATAGAGAATATACAGCCTCCTGGAGAACATAACCTCAGACCCGTAACATATTGCCACATAACTGCATGTAATTGAGTCTAAAAAGGCTGTTCTTCCTATCACACCAGCTGTCTCAGAATGATGACAAACATGGTAAGACCAGTGAATTCCATGAGCATGACCCGTTGTTGCATTTCATTTGGTATAAAGTAGGTTCCTTGATCAGAGTCAATATTATGTGGAATATCATGATGATGGGTAAGGCATTCTGTAAGTCCACACATGGTAGTTTTAGCAGAAACATTGCATTCAGGGAAGGCAAATCCACATCCAGTGTAAGTATCTATTTCAGTAAGAAAAAAAAAAAAAAACCTGCTGTTTCTTTCATTATGGGAATATTCCCTGGGTCTCTTCAACAGTGGGTATATGGGTTTTACATGATAAATCAACTTTAATATTATTGAATTCTAGTTAAATTTCATTGTGATTTAAATCTTCTTACCTTAAATTTCATAAGGTATGCTTTATGACTCAGAATATACTGTATCTTGATAAATGCTACACAGAAGTAAATGAGTTTCCACAACAATTCATTAATTCATCTTAAGTCAACTGAATCCTACTTTAAAAATTGTTGATGTTCAGAGAATGATTTTTGCCTCAATTCCAAAAATACTACTTGTCCTCCTATAGGCTGTAATTGTGAAAATCTTTTGAAATTCTTTATACACCCCTGTCTTGGTAACTTTAAGAAACTTTGATTTTCCTGGTTATATGAACGAATATTGTCCTAAGATCACTAGAAAGACAGTGAAATCTCACACACAGGAGATGCCTCCTGAAAACACACAAGAGAGCAGGGGAATCATTGTCCACTTAGGCATCTGGTTGGGGCTTGGGTCACGTCCCTCAGACACGTCTTCCTTCCACTTATATGTAGTGACCAAAACGTAAAGACCACAGGAGAGACCATAGTCCAAAATCATCCACAATTGTGTGTCTATATCTTCAGAGGTGCTCTCCAACACAAACTGAAGACAATCAACACCAGTACTGGAAGGTTCTCACTTCCTCTGGGAAATACACCTTCTTTGTACACAGGACACAAATCACTTAACTCTCTACCAGGACCAGAGAAATAGGGGGAGACCTCCATAAAGGGATAATCCTATAAGCCCTAGTCTTCTCCTCATCCTGTTGCACTCCTGAAGCTGCAGCGCTGCCCACATGCAAATGTCTCTTTCAGTCAATGAAGGAGGAAGGGCTTTAAGCCTGGGCAACTAAGTGTAATTTCTCATTCTGGGCTGGGGTTTCTGAGAAAGAAAGGACTCCCCAACATGACATGGCTGTGCCTCTTCCTCTGCCTGGTCACTGCAGCCCCAGGTGAGATTTTCCAGAATTTCAGAGATGAGGCTGTGGTCTGTGGTGTCTGCTTGTGACTCACTGTGGTCTTCCTTGTTCCCAGGTGTCCTGTCCCAGGTGCAGCTGCAAGAGTCGGGCCCAGGACTGGTGAAGTCCTCACAGACCATCTCCCTAAGTTGTGCTGTCCCCAGATACTCCATCACCAGTGGTTATGGCTGGTCCTGGATCCGCCAGTCCACAGAGAAGGGGCTTCAGTGGACTGGGTATATAAGTTATAGTGGTAGCACTAATTACAACCCATCCCTCAAGAGCCGCAGCTCCATTTCCAGAGACACATCCAAGTATGAGTTTTCCCTGCAGCTGAGCTCCATGACCACTGACGACACGGTTGTGTATTACTGTGCGAGAGGCACAGTGAAAGGCAGTCAATAGGATCCCAGACACAAACTTCCCCTCAGGGTGGCAGGAAGTAGCGGGGCTGCAGTGAGAACTCAGGACCCACAGAGTTTAACAACCCAGCCCCAGGAGCAGGGACAGTGTTTGAAGAATGAAGGAAGAAGGTTTTTTTTTTAGAGGGGGCTTTACACTCTGATCTTTTGTTTCTCTTCTCTGAGCGAATGGTTTCCCCTGGAACTGTCTCCTACTTCCTATCTTCATGTCTATTTCTTGCAAATACAAAACAAAACAAAGAAACAAAAACCATTCTGTTTTCCTTCCAGGGAAAATCAAATATCTAATTAGGATCTAGCATCTAGAATATAGAAAGAACTCTAAAAGCTCAACAATAAGGCAGATAATGAAGTTGAAAATGAACAAAGGATTTTATCATTGTTTCTCCAAAAGACATTTACAAATGACTTAAAAGCACATTAAAGGTGTTCAACTGTATTAGCCATTGCAAAAAAAGAAAAACAAATGTGTTGCCATCAAGTCGATTGTTACTTATAGTTATCCTATAGGACAAAATAGAACTGCCCCAAAGGGTTTCCAAGGAGCAGGTGGTGGATTCAAACTGGAGACCTTTTGGTTAGCAGCCAAGTTCTTAACCACTATGCACCAGGGCTCCCATTAGTCATTATAGTAAAGCAAATTGAGATCACAATGAGATATCATTTTGCAGCTACTAGAGTGGCTATTACAAAAAATAAAAAAGATTTTAAATTACAAATATTGTTGAGGTTATGGAGAAATTGCAGCCCTCATCTTTTTTTTTTTCTTTTTTTGCTGGTGTGAAAATAAAATGAAGCCCCCTTGGAAAACAGTTTGGCTTCTCTTCAAAAAGATAAACATAGAATAACTGTATTACTGAGCAATTTCATTCTGGGTGTATACTCAAAATAATTGAAAGCAGAGACTCAAACAGATACTTGTAAACCAAAGCTTAATGCATTATTATTCACAATAGCTAAAAAGTGAAAACAACCCAAATGTCAATTAACAGGTGAATTTTTAAACAAAATATCCTATATGCATACAATGGAATATCATTCAGTAACAAAAATGATTGAAGTTATTATACATGCAATGAAATAGATGAATCATGAAAACCTGCTAAATGAAATAAGCCAGACACAAAGTGACAGATATTGTATGATCTCACTTACCTGGTAGATCTAAAGTAGGCAAATTCATGGAGACAGAAAGCAGATTCGTGGTTATTACTGCTTGGGGGAGGAGGTAAGATGTCTTTGGTTCCTAATGGGTACAGTGGTTCTGAAAGGGCTGATGAAAACATTCTGGAAATAGTGATGATTGTTGTGGAATATTGTGAAAATAATTAATAATACCTAACTGTACACATAAAAATTGTTAAAATGGCTAATTTTAGCCTGTATCTATTAACCACTACAAAATTACAGCAAAAACAGCAACAAATTCACAAAGCTTCCAGGTTAATTACATTGTATGTGCAGGGAATTTGCCCGTGTCTGATGGTAGCAATTGCAAATTGCCTTTCTCATTAAAACCATTTTATTTTAATGAAATACACTTATATAATAGTGTTACCAAACACTATGGGTTCAGTGCTTGCATTCTAGTTAAGAATAACTAGGAGTCAAGCGGATTTAAACCGAGGCATAGTTTATTACTCATGGTCAGTAAGGAGAGGAGTGGGTATCCTCCCCTGAAAGCACTTTCTCCCTGAACAAAGGGCTAGGAGTGCTGTTTTATACAGGCAGGAGAGGGGAAGTCATACATATTCATTAACTTCATATATATTCAAAAAAGGGTTACGGTAGAATTCTTGCGCAGAACTGGCTGATGGTCTTCTCACTTAGGAAATGGGCTCGGTCACCGCTCAATGACGTATGTCCAGTGATTTTGGTTCCTAGGCAACACTTAAGGGATAAGGTCATCTGCCTGTTGACCTGGTCTCTTACCACAAATGCCCAGTATTCTAATTGGCTGATCTGAAAGACAGCTACAAACAGACAGGAGGAAGGAAACAACATTCACACCATTCTTCTTCTAGACAAAATCTTTAACTTAAATAACTTGTCGTTCAAGGCGTTTTCTGTCCCTAGCTGGTCTCAATAGGAGTTCCACAACACTTTATTCATTTTCTTTCAAGTGGAAACAATCTTACTTTAGAAAATATACTGACCTTCAGAGAATCATTTTTGTCTCCATTCCAACAGTAGTACTTAGCATCACATGTGCTTTGGTTGTGAAAGCTTTTGTGTAATTCTTTATCAGCCTCTGTCCTGGTGAGTTTAGGAAACTTTGATACTCCCAGATATATGAAAAGAACCTTGTCCTGAGGTCACAATAATAGACAGAGGCATCTCACAGACTGGGGCACCTCCCACCACCACACAGAAGCAAAGGAGAATCACTGAGTGGGGCTTGAACAGATCTCTCAGACATGGCTGCCTTCCATGTGTGTGCTAATCAGATGAACAGCACACAGGGAACACATAATACTTCAAAATCATCTGGAACTGTGTATCTGCATAGGTACTTCCTATGACAAATAGGAAATCAACCCCATTGCTGGAAGATTCTCATTTCTTCTGGACTATCCACTCTCTTCTTCCATGGGACACAAATTGATTTCCTTTCTGTCAGGACCAGAGAAATGGGTGCAAGTGTTTCATGAAGATATGGTCCGTGTATTCTGTGTTCCTCCCTCACCCTATTCCCCTCTGGTAGATGCAGGTCTTCCCACATGCAAATAACTCTCCAGCCTTGGAGGGAGAAATAGACCTTAAGCTTTAGTAGGCCAGTGTGATTTCTCACTGAGGCCTGGAGTGTCTGAGAAAGACTGGAACCCCAGGAGAAAAACATGAATAGTAGCTGTGTCTCATCCTCTGCCTGGTGGTTGCAGTCCCAGGTAAGATTTCACAAGATTTCAGAGATGTGATCATGGGCTGATGTGTCTGCTTGTGACTCACTGTGGTTCTCTTTATCCCCAGGGATCCTGTCCCAGGTACAGCGGCAAGCTCCAGGCCCAGGAATGTCAAATTCCTTGCAGACCCTCTCCCTTTCATATTCTGTCTCTGAATTTTCCATCACAACCAGTGGTCACTGTTGGAGTTGGATCTATCAGCCCATGGGGAAAAGGCTGGAGTGGGCTGATTATATATATTATGATGGGAACACTTACTACAATGATCCCTCAAGAGATGCTGTTCCATCTACAGAGATATAGCCTCAAACCAGTTTGCCCTGTAGCTGAGCTGCATGACTGCTAAGGAAATGGCCATGTATTACTGTGCAAGATGCACACAGTGACAGAAAGATAGTGTAAACTCAGACATAATCCTCCCCTGTAGGGAGCAGGCTGGTCTACAAGGGAGCTCTCAGGACCTCAGAGGACAGGGGCCAAGCTTCAGGTGCAGGGCACAAGTATTTAAAATTCAAAGGAAGAAAGACGGTTTTATTTTCTTGTCTGTTTTTCTTTTTTTCCTCATTTTTCCAGCCTGATCTTTGCTTTTCCCCTCTAAAAGCAAATGGTTTTTCCCGGGATGCTTTCCTCCTCCCTGCCTTTATCTCTCCTATTTATCTTATTTAAAAACTTGGTTTCTTGTCAAAGACTACAGAATAGAAGGATGAAAAAAAAGTAAATTTACACTGGAGATACAGCACTAACATTACCTCAACTAGGTAACTGGGATCAACAGTGATAGGTCATACTGATATAAAACCCTTGATATTATATAATGATAAAGGCATTTACCTCTGTGACCTTATACCCAAGAAACCATCACTTCAATGTAGTTATGAAAAATACTTCAGAAAACACTCAGAAGAGGGACGTTCTACAAAATACTTGCCATCAAAAACAAGGAAAATCTGAGAAATTATCACAGACAAGAAGAACCTAAGGAGACATGAAATCAATAGTAATGTTGTACTGTACATGATCCTGTAACAGAAAAAGGGAAAGCTAATGAAATTTGTATAAAATATGGACTTTAATTAACAAAAATGGAGTCAACAACATGGCAGTGTAAATTGTCCCACACTCACCCTGCTACAGAAACAAAAAACTTAGAAGAAATTGTCAGAATTTACCTTGCCATAACTCTGGTAAACAGTCAACAGTTCACATCAACCTCAGGAACACTGAAACAGTTAAAAAAAAAAAAAAAAAAACTTCAATATGGTACGAAAACTTTGTGGCTTTTTTTTTTTGTTCCCAGCTGTGTTCCAACTCTGCCCCACTCCACATCAACTGGAAGCAGCAACTCAACTTTCCAGCCTGGGGCCTTGGACCCTGGTTCCAGAGGGAGCAGAGTATGCCATATTCACATATTATTGGGCTTTCTATTCTAACTTGCCGGATGACTGCCTGTCTTAGTTATCTAGTTCTGCTATAACAGAAATACCACAAATGGATGGCTTTAACATAGAGAAATTTATTCTCTCACAGTTTAGGAGACTAGAAGTCCAAAATTCAGGGTGCAAGCTCTATAGGAAGGCTTTCTCTCTCTGTCAGTGCTAGAAGAAGTTTCTTGTCATCAATCTTCCCATGGTCTAGGAGAGTCTCAGCACGGGAACCCCGGGTCCAAAGGACATGCTCTCTCTCAGCACTGTTTTTTTGTGATATGAGGTCCCCCTGTTTCTCTGCTCACTTCTGTGTTTTATATCTCAAAAGAGATGGACTCAACAGACAGCCTAAACATGTAGATTGAGTTCTGCCTCATCAATATAACTGTGTTTATTCTGCCTTATTGACATCATAGAGGTAGGATTTACAACACATAGGAAAATCACAACAGATGACAAAATAGTAGACTTTCATACAATATTGGGAGTGAAGGCCTAGCCAAGTTGACACATATTTTTTAGGGAAACAATTCAATACATGACACTAAGGAAAGGACTGAAGCAAAGAACAAAGTGCTCATTAATGTTTTGTCAATCTCAGACATCATACAGGGTGGGAATGTTGCAGACATAGCCCAAAATGCAGTAAGGGAAAGGAA